TGGCCGCCACCTCCTCCTGGATACTCGAATGTCATAGGCACGTGGATTTCTTCTAGCTAGCTTGAAAGAGGAAAAACTTAGAACACCGTTTGCCCAGGTATCAAAGCATGGCTGAGTGGTCGAGGATCGGTCACAAAGACGGGGACGGCGTTGAGGAGGGGCATGGAAGATCCAGCAGCAGTTTGGAACCGGATTGGACGTTCAACATCGGTGAACCGATCCTCGGCATCGAGACTGTCACTTTGACTAGTTTCGAGATCGGGATTGTGGTACTCGGCGAGAGACATCTCTATTGTCTAAAAGACAACTGCGCCTCGGTCAAATACGCGAAGAGGTTCGAGTACAGGCCTGTCTGTTTTCGAGCTTATGTAATCGGTAATAATAATAATAATAATAATAATAATAATAACAATAATAACAACAATAAACTCGATGAACACCTCGAAGAAAATACTTTTATATATCTTTTATATATTTTATATATTTTATATATATCTTTTGTTATTGTTATATATTTTTTGTTATTGGAATTTCTTTTTCAGAACCGGACGGGAAATTGATGGTGCTGGTGATCGCCGACACGGGTACTCTGATGATCTACGAGGGAACCACATTGAAATGGTCGGCAAAATTGCCCTTCACACCTGTCACCGTGGCCAGGGTTCAACTTCGGGTGAGTTGAAAATAAAGAAAGAGGACAAATTATCCACGCGCTAATTTTTCTATAGCACTTGGAGGGCGCTATAGTCGTTCTATCGGCGGACGGTCGGTTGGAGGCTTGCTACCTAGGCTCGGAGCCGAGTTTGTTCGTCGCCCCCCCTCTTCACCCGCGCGGCTACGATTACGCGGCCGCTGAACAAGAATTGTCGAAGCTGCGTGAGAGTGTGTGTACGAGGAAGGGTAGGTATAGCAGTTTCCTAGTTTTCGCGATTCGACGTACGAATCGATCGCGATGTTTTCACGAATAGAGGATCGAACCAGCGATGCTGGAGCGGAAGCGGAGCTCGTAGTTACGGTAAACGCATCCATGGACTCGGATCCGTCGCCCGTTTGCGAGGTCGACGTACAATTGTCCTCGTACGCTGCTCTTCGCGACGTTCAGGTTTGCGTCCACGTTTCGA